GTGTGTGTGTGTGTGTGTGTGTGTGTGTGTGTGTGTGTGTGTGTGTGTGTGTGTGTGTGTGCATAAATACAGATAATCTCAAAGATCTAAGAAGCTAATATAATGGCTACATTTGGATAAATGTACTCATTTGGATAAATGTACTGGTCGTCCAAAAATCGTGTTTTAAAGCCATTTTAGAGAGCTTCTGTATGTTAGATCATATGCCATTTTATGCCAAAGAAGCCATAAAAATGATGGTGGGACGTAAATGAGAGAAAAAATGACCTAAACTACCTCATATGCTTTTTTATTTTTGTTATTATTTTTTGTCAGCCATGGGGATTGAACTCTGGGCCTGGGTGGTTTCCCTGAGCTCTTCAGCTCAAGGCAAGCACTCTACCTAATAGCTTTCTGGTGGTTATTTGGAGATGAGAATCTCACAGATTTTCCTTTCTGGGCTAGCTTTGAACTGCGATCCTCAGATTCAGCCTCTTGAGTAGTTAGGATTACAGTCGTGAGCCATTGGCGCCTGGTTTTCATGTGCATATTATAATATTATGTGTTAATTAAAGAAAAGAAAATACCCTGGAGTGTCTGGTCTTGTAAAATATTGTGTAGGTCTAATGCAAAATACAAACGCGACTGGAAAAAAAACCATCATTAGTTTTTAGTTTAAATTTTCTGTGTTCCGAGAATATACTTACATTTGTTTTATGGATGAGACTATGGCTTTTCTTGGTAAGTATTCTGTGTGTGCCTGAAAGAAACATATAATCTATCATTTTGATGAGTGTTCTATAAATAATTAGGTCAAGTTACTTGCTTCTGTTGTTTAGTTTTTCTGTTGATTTTATGTATATTTGTTTTATTGACTATTGATAGAAATGTTGAAATCTCTAATAATTGTGAATTTGTATACCTATAAGTTGTTTTTAGTTTTTTGGCGAAAGAAGTAGTTTCTTATTTCCGTTGGCAGTTACTTTATGCAATTGTCATAAGATAGAGGTTCTCAACTGTTCCTGTCATAATTTGTGGTGTATTACTACTAGTGTGTAGGTAGTTCTAGAAATGCTAAATTTCAGACAATAATTCAAGATAATCCAACCCAGTGAAAACATATCCAAAATGTCAGTAATTTCTCCATTGAGAAGCATGGGTTAATCTCAGCTTCTACATTGTGGAAAATTCGTTGAAGTTTTCTTGAGCCACATCACTACTTTCAGCTTTTTCTGCTTATGTGGTGCCCTCTAACTGAGGGCCTCATACATACAAGGCAAGCACTCTACCACTGAGCCACCTTCCCAGACCCTATTTTATTTTATTCATTTAATTAATTAATTAATTTTTTTTGTCAGTTGTAGGGCTTGAACATGGCTAACATTCTACCACTTTGAGCCACAGTGCCATTTCCACTTTTCTGGTGGTTCATTGGAAATCAGAGTCTCACAGCCTTTCCTGCCCCGGCTGGCTTTGAACTATAATGCTTAAATCTCAGCCTCCTGAGCAGCTAAGATTTCAGCCGTGAGTCACTGGTCCTTGGCTGAAGTTTTAATGTATTATAAACTACTGGTAATAATATTGAAGTAAAATTCCTAGCCTTTTCCTTTTTTCTTTTCTTTTGCCAGTCCTGGGACTTGAGCCTCTTTGTGCTCAAGGCTAGCATTCTACCACTTGAGCCACAGGACCACTTCCAGCTTTTTCTTTTTATGTGGTACTAAGCAATTGAACCTAGGGCTTCATGCATACTAGGCAAGCACTGTACCACTAAGCCACATTCCCAGACCTCCTAACCTATTTTTTAAGTCACTAAAGCTTAATAGGTATTAAAAGTATGTTTTCCTTGAATGAAATTACTTTAAGACAGTTCCTTATTTCCTGATTTCATTATTACTAGCCATATATAAGATATTTGCATATTAAATCATGTGTGATTAAATAGGTGAAACAACTGAAGAATCGTGCAGATGAAGATGCACGAATAATTCATATGAGTGTGCAGATGGGTAATGACCCCCCTATTTCACTCAGAAGGGATCTGGAACACTTAATGCTCTTGGTAAGTCATTTTAGTGGTATCTTCTCATCTCTTCTTTCCATTTGTTTTCTTTTACTTTGGAAAATTTTATTCCTTATACTTGATATTCACAAGGGAATTCAATACTTTTTTTATGTCCCCCATAGTCTTTGCTTTCTCTTTGCAGATTGGTGAACTATATAAAAAAAATCCCTTTCATTTGGAGCTTGCCCTAGAATATTGGTGTCCCTCTGAGCCTTTGCAGACTCCCACTATCATGGGTTCTTATCTGGGCGTGGCTCATCAGAGACCTCCTCAACGCCAGGTGAGCTTTTAGGCTTTCTCCTTTCTCTACTCCAGTATGGTAAGTAAGAATTTTGAAAATGTTATTTTCAGATGTTACTGCTGTTAACTCAGATGAGCACTGCTCTAACCTTGAGAAATTTACATACTTCCTTTTGACTTAAAAAACTTGAAACTATTAACATTTAACTTACTATCATTTTGGATTTTATGTAGTTAGGTCAGTTTACATACTAGATGAGTATCAAATTATTTGGAGCAGAGAAGTTTCTGGCCCTCTAATGTATCACTTACTTGAATTCTATTGGTATTTTATTCTATTTGCTATAGTTTGTCAGAAACCAAAATACATAATTCATATCAGGTTGGAAAAGGGGAAGTGTGAATGTTAAAGTAAAAAGTTTACAGCCTTAGAAGCTCTTTCTTTCTTATTTTTCTCCTGTTTCTGTGGCTTGAACTCTGTCTAGGTGCTGTCCCTGAGTTTTTTTGCTTAAGGTTAGTGCTCTATCTCTGAGCCACAGCTCATCTTGAGTAGCTAGTATAATAGGTCTGAGCTACCAGTGTCCACCTGGCTTAGTTTTAATTGATAGTATCATGTCTGTGAGTCTTCCAGATAATGTAAAGCAAGAGGCCATTTTCTGTGGCTATATCTGAGGTATTATATACAGAAGAAAATCCGATGATTTACGATGTCAGGCTCATCTTTTTGGGATTTCTGTTGAGAAGTTTCCATGGTGTGGAGTTCTCATGTTTTCTGCCTTCTAGCATCAGAAGCCTCCTTATATTTTAGTACATTCTTACATGTATAGTTTTAGCTTTTCCCATTAAGGAAAATATTTCATAGAAGAGTATGTTAAAAACTTGTGTGTGTGTGTGTTGGTATTGGGGCTTGAACTCAGGGCCAGGGTGCTACTTTCTTAGCTTTCTCCTCAAAGCTGGTACTCTACCATTTGAGCCACACCTTCATTTCCAGCTTTTTGACTGGTTAATTGGAGATAAGAATCTCAAGGACTTGGGGCTGGGAAGGTAGCTCATTGGTAGAGCGCTTGCCTTGCATGCCTGAGGCCCTGGGTTTGATTCCTCAGCACCACATAAGAAAAAAGAAAAAAGCCAGAAGTGGTGCTGTGGCTCAAGTGGTAGAGCGCTAGCCTTGAGCTGAAGAGCTGAGGGACAGTGCCCAGGCCCAGAGTTCAGGCCCCACAACTGGACCCCCTCCAAAAAAAAAAAAACCTTGAAAAAAAAAAAAGAATCTCAAGGACTTTACTCTCTGGATTGGCTTTGAACCTCCAACCTCAGATCTTAGCATCTGAGTAGCTAGGATTACTGGCAAGAGCTACTAGCACTCAGCTAAAACCTTTTTTTAAAGACTAAATTTTTAAAAACTTATGCAGAGTTTGAAATACATGAAAGATATAATAAAAAACATATAAATATAACATGTAATCCTTAATATTAAGTAATTAATATAAAGTATTTAATATGTACAAAGATATAGTAAAATATAATAAAAGGTACAATAAAATTTTCACATAATAAGTTAACATACTGCTATATCTACATCTGTCTGTCAGTCTCTATTATATATACATTATATATATATATGTATGTATGTATGTATGTTTTTTTTTATATCAGTCGTTGGGGCCTGAACTCTGGGCTTGGGCGCTGTTCCTGAGCTCTTCAGCTCAAGGCTAGTGCTCTACCACTTGAGCCACAATGCCACTTCCAGCTTTTTCTGCTTACATGGTACTGTGGAATCGAATGCCTCATGCACGCAAGGCGAGCACTCTACCACTGAGCCACCTTCTCAGCCACATACTGCTATATTTTAACTTCCATCTATATTATTCTTACTACTTGCATTTTGCTGGAGTTTTTTCAAAGGAAATTATGTATAGTATGACATTTCACCCCTCAATGGTTAAGTACGTGTATCTTTTTAAATGATATTTACCTACCCCATGTATAACCATTGTTATACCTAACAGATTTAATACTTTCTAGAGATTTATAGCATTTCCTGTTTGGAATTCCACTTAATGAATCTGAGTAATATTTTTAGTTACTAATATATTTAAAGCATAAACAACAAAAATAGAAAAAGAAGTGGATTTGAAAGCATAGGACTTGATGAGAACAAAGAAACCACATCCTTTTGGTTGCCAGATCTTCATACTGATTATACTGCTGTTTGGTTATTCTAGTGTTGAAGTATGCCTTTGAATTTGCTGGCTAATTTTGAGTTAGTAAGTATCTTTAGCTGTCTTAGATATTTTAAAATGTATGTAGTCTTACATGTTGTGACATTGAAATATTTGGGAAAATGTACTTTATATTCACAAAAGTATTCTGTAATCACATTAAATTGCTTATGACAGGCTTCAAAATAATTTTACATAAATAGAATGCCTGTTAATTTTGCATTTGCTAGGGTTAAATCAGCACTGAATTGATATAGCTCATGTGGAGGCTTCATGAGCTAGTACATGTTGCCTAAAAGTTAGCATAGACTTTATATAAACTATTGTTTTTTCTTAATTTCAGGTTGTCTTATCAAAGTTTGTTAGGCAAATGGGTGACCTCTTGCCTCCAACTATTTATATTCCTTATTTGAAAATGCTCCAAGGTTTGGCCAATGGACCTCAGTGTGCCCACTACTGTTTCAGTCTGCTCAAAGTCAATGGTAGTAGTCATGGTAAGGAAAATCTAGATTTAAGTTGTTATTGCACTCTTGAGTTTACTGTCCCACTGCCTAGTGAAAAATATTGGTTATTCATGCTGAGTTCTACTAGATCTATACTTTGTTTTTATGACAGATGGCTTCAAGCATAGTGATGCCTTAATTACGGTCTCATTGTTTAGGGAGGTTGTCCATTCCTCTTTTATGTTTTTGTTTTGTGCCAGTCCTGGAGATTGAACTCAGGACCTGGATGCTATCCCTGAGAATTTTTGCTCAAGGCTAGCGTTTGAGGCCATGGCCCCACTTCTGGCTTTTTTGGTGATTAGATATTAATTAATTAATTTGTAGTTAATTGGAGACTTTGTTGATTAATTGGAGAGTCTCACAGACTTAACTTCCCAGGCTGGCTTTGAACTGCAGTCTTCAGATTTCAGACTCCTGAGTACCTAGTATTACAGATACTGAGTACAGTGGCCTGGCTATTTTTGCTGTTGTTGTTGTGTTTTCCAAAGAAAATTTTGTGCTGCTATTTTTTACAGTTGAGAATATTCAGGGAGCAGGTGGTAGTCCTGTTTCCTGGGAACATTTCTTTCACTCGTTGATGCTTTATCATGAACACCTCCGGAAGGATCTTCCAAGTGCAGATAGTGTCCAGTACCGTCACCTCCCTTCACGTGGTATCACCCAGAAAGAGCAAGATGGACTGATTGCTTTTTTGCAACTCACATCTACCATCATTACTTGGGTAAGTAACTCACCCACAGCATAATTTTGTTTATATCCTAGCACAGTGGAATTTAAAGGGGCCAAACATTTTTTTTAAATGCTTAAAGTTTATGAGTAATAAATTTTGCACATAGAATTAGTTCTTAAATTCTTTATTTTCTTAATCTCTAGAACATATAAATTATACTTATTCCACTCAGTAATATATGAAGTATGAAAATAATAGACTAAATTTTAAAGAAAGTAGTCAGAAGAGCCAGTAAGAGTCAGTTGTTGTCTGTGTATCTTTCTTGGTTTTCTAGCATAAGGGTAAATCTATGTATATATGTTGGGATATATGTGCATACATAAAGGATAGCTTTAATTAAAAAGAAGTTACCTAGGGTTTTTTTTTTCTCCCTAAATAAAACCATTTACCTGAATCTAACCAAATTAATCTTTAGAAAGCATATTTTCGCCAGGCGCCGGTGGCTCACGCCTGTAATCATAGCTACTCAGGAGGCTGAGATCTGAGAATCGTGGTTCAAAGCCAGCCCGGGCAGGAAAGTCCATGAAACTCTTTATCTCCAATAAACCACCAGAAAACCAGAAGTGGCACTGTAGCTCAAGTTGTAGAGTGCTAGCCTTGAGCTGTAGAGCTTAGGGACAGCGCTCAGGCCCAGAGTTCAAGCCCCCATGACCGACAAAAAAAAAAGAAAGCATATTTTCATCACAAGTTTCCTAGTTTAGAAATTCATTTAGTTTTTTATTTCTGTGTTCATTAGACCAAAGTTAAGTTACTTGGTCTAACATCTCTGAAAGATGAGAATATTGTCGTCTAGCTTTTTCCATCTTCCTAATCATGCTTTCAATTTATTTTTCAAAATGTCAAGTTGGGAAAATGAAGTGATTCTTGATAACTATATTTTTACATTGTTACTAGTTTAAAAAAATGCATTTTATTAAAGTAAAGCATCAATTCAGAAAGGCTTTAAAATATCTAAGTAAGACTTAGGAAGCCTTAGCAGACCATATATCTCTTTTATAGTGTTATTTCCCACATTTGGGTCTACAAACGTAATTTCTCTTCCATTCTTCGACCAAACTAGCAGTCTGACTTGCCCTACTGGTTAGACTGACAGTATTAATAAAATAGGCTTATCTTTGTTTAGGTATGTCTTAAAGTGTGAGGGGCAGCATCAGTGCTAACTAGAGATTGCTGGTCATTTTTCTTAGCTTTTAAAAATGGAAAGCAAGACCATGCTGTGAGCTTTGGAGACCAGTCTGGGCAACATGAACATAGTGAGCCCCTCAAAATGAGTGAATAAAAACGTGTTCTTTTCGTGTTCCATTCTCAGAGTGAAAATGCCCGCTTGGCACTCTGTGAGCATCCCCAGTGGACGCCTGTTGTGGTGATTCTGGGCCTACTGCAGTGCAGCATTCCCCCTGTTCTCAAGGCCGAGCTGCTGAAGACATTGGCAGCGTTTGGAAAGTCTCCTGAAGTTGCTGCATCCCTCTGGCAGTCCTTGGAGTACACTCAGGTAGTGATAGGAACTTCCTCATTGCATTACTTGTAAAGTAGCTTGGTAATATGTAAAGTATACTATGCACTTCCCAGCTAGAAAGTTTGGCAACCAAGCATAGCATTAGAAACTAATAAACCTAGGTTTTTCTTTTGGCTCAGTTGACAGTTTCACTAGGTTATCAGGGATTGGTTTTTCAGACAATTCTGTTAGGCTTTATTTTTGAAAATCTGTAAGATAATTCTGGGTGGACAGATTTCTTCCACTCTTTCACACCATGTTGATGAAAGCCTTCAGAAGCCGTTTGTACTTACTAAATGTGGGATGTGTATGTTTTCTTTTCTTCTTTTTTTTTCCTTCTCAAACCAGGAGAGTGACATACCTTATTTAGCTGTATATCATCACTAGAAATGTTTGTTTTTTTTCTCTCATAAAGGGCACATCCAACTGTTCACTAAATTTGCATGGGAATTTTAACAGCAGCAAAGTACTTTTAATTATTGATAGTCATGAAGACTTACTGCCAAGATGATGAACTTTGGGCAAAATTAGAACTAGAACAGCAGGAAAATTTTCATTTCTGCATACTTACAGAATGAATGTACTTTATGCTGACATGGGAGGGGAAGTAGATAGGTTACATGATATTTGATGTCTCAATGAATTACTGTTTTCCTCTCTGTAATGTAGGCTTAGAATTTTTATTCCAAGAATAGTTATTTGTCTATATGATAAAGTAAAAAAGGAAAGTAAGGATATGCTTTACAGAACTATCTCTAGGAAATAGGTGAAATAGGCAAAGATCTTGGAATTAATACAACCTAAAGAAGCCTGCAAACTCATTATTCACAGAAGTAATCTTTTTTTTTTCTTTTTTATCAGTTGTGGGGCTTGAATTCAGGGCCAGGACCCTGTCCCTGAACTCTTTTCCTCAAGGCTAGCACTCTACCACTTTGAGCCATTTTCTGTTTTTTGATGATTAATTGGAGAAAAGAATCTTAGAGATTTTTCTGCCTGGGCTGGCTGAGCCTCAGTCCTCAGATCTCAGCTTCCTGCGTAGATAGGATTACAGGTGTGAGCCACTAGCTCCAGCTTCATTTTGTAATTGTAAACTCTTCTTGGTTATTTTCTAACATAGGTGTCCTGAAGATATGAACATTTCTTTATAAAGAGAATAGTTAATGAAGTTGGTATATGCTGAAGTTGGTGAATGCTAAGTACTGATGCTTCACTTTTTGATGCATACGAGATTTTTTGGAGGGGGCAGGGGGCAAATACTACTATTTACCAATGTCCTGACTGCTTTTGCCTTTTTTCATTGCAAATTAAATGTGATTGGGTTTAGAAATCTTTGTTCTTACAACAGCAACATTTTAAAAAGGCTTTTATTTAATCTTATACTCTTAAGTTGCAGGAAAGTTAAGTATCATGAATAAATACAATTTATCATGAATAAATACAATTTTTGTTTACCAAGTTAGGTCCTAAGCCAGGTCAGGACAGAACGTTTTAATTCAAAATGCCTGTCCATTTTAAGAAATCTTATTAAGTTACTTGGTCAAAGTAGAGCTGCTTGTGAATTTATGTGTCTTTCAACACTAGTGAGATTTTATCCTGTAAATCCCTTTAAGGATTAATTCCCAGAATATCTGAGAGGAAATTTGCTGAAAAGAGCAGATTGTGTGCTCCTAGAAATGACCCATTTCCAGTCAAAAATCCTGTGTGAATCTATGAAGATTGTTAACAGAAGTCTGTCAGGGACTCTGTCATTGCTAATGGACATTGTGAGATGAGTGAGAGCCCTATATGTGATCTGTGACTAGTAATATGCACAACCATTACTGCTCAGTGATGTATGAGGAATATTACTGACATGTATTTTTTATTTTAAGATACTGCAGACTGTCAGGGTTCCAAGCCAGAGGCAAGCAATTGGGATAGAGGTAAGGTTTAGAGACTGTATTCATTCACACATGTGAAATAAAAAGATTATAAACTACGATTAACTACCAGATTTAATATATTTACATTTAAAGGGCTTCCTAATCAGTGTTTAAATGGAGATGAAACCATTAATGAAAAGAATCAAATACTTAATGTTCCAGAGTTGGAGAAGGATTTACATGAAAACTATCTAAATTGAAAAGTCTTGGATTCAACTGTTTAATTAAGTTACTTGACTCAAACTGTTTCTTCATTTTATTTGTGGTGGTATGGATGGCCATAGCTGGCTAGACCCTACCACTTGAACTATGCTTCTAGCCAGTTTTGCTTTAATTTTTTTCCCCTCAGGGCTAGCCTTGGACCTTGATCCTTCTATTTATTCCTTCAACATGGTTGGGACCAAAATACATATAACTATGCCCAGCTTAATGGTTGAGAAGAGGTTTGATAAATTTTTTGCCTGGGCTGGCCTTGAGCAGGCCTTGAAGTAGGATCCTCCTGTTTAGTGCCTCAGGATCTCTACTTAAACATTTAAGATCTCTTTTTAATTCTAGTTTGGAATGATAGGTGAGGATTTGAAGTTCTTCTGACTCATCAGATTGACATACTTTAGTATTTATTTCTGTAACTGAAACATGATAATGTCGGTTATTAGTCTTCTGATATGATTTAACCCTGTTGGTGAGTTGTAGCTATGAAATGCAGAGCATTTATATTACCAACTTTTGTTTTTCTTTGAAGGTTGAACTCAATGAAATAGAATCCCGATGTGAAGAATACCCATTGACTCGGGCCTTTTGCCAGTTGATCAGCACCCTGGTGGAGAGCTCATTTCCTTCTAATTTGGGCGCTGGTCTGCGGCCCCCTGGCTTTGACCCCTATTTGCAGTTCCTTAGAGATTCTGTGTTTCTCCGATTTCGTACAAGAGCCTACAGGAGAGCTGCTGAAAAGGTTATGTTCAGAGAAAAGTTACTTAATGTTGCTTTTTCTTTTATCCACTTAGTGTTGCTTTTTCTTTTATCCAGCATATAATGGTCTACAAATTCATTTTAGCTTTTGAAAGTTAGTAAATTCAGTTTTAATCCTGAAATACCTCTAGCTTGATTAGTTATATATATTAAAAAATAAATTCAGACAGTAGATTAAAGCATTGACATTTCGTGATCAATAATTTAGGAGTTCATATCTCATATACTGAACAGATTTTGTGTATTACTTTTTTGAGACAGGCTCTTTATATGTCCACTTGAACAAATTTTAACTAAAATTGAACTAAAAAGGTTGCACTTTGGTTGAAAACAAATGTGATCTTTACTAGGATGATTTGGATTAGGATTGAATAAGATCACACTTGCACACTGGTTAATCTCTTAGTGCTACTTCTGGTTGTAGAATATTGGCAGTGGGAAGTAATGTTGTCGAGGATGGAGGCTGAGGGAGCACTGACATGTACATCCTGGCTCTCTCTGTTCCTAAGAAACTACTGAGCTCTTCATATATATAATTTTATGTAATTCCAGTATTTTTTGAGTCAGGTACGATTAATATTCCCATTTTACAGATGGAGGCTTAGCAAGGTTAAGGAACTTGCCTAAGGTCCAGGACCAGGATTTGAACCTAGGACTCTGATTCCAGATCCAAGCTCATAACCACTAAAAGCTATGTAAGAGACCTTTCCAGGTTCTGACCTAATTCACTTTAGTCTATGATACTGTTTATTACCTCCCAGAATAATCTTGGATGTATCTTCTAGCAACATTTTGCTGTATTATAGTTTGCTGTTTTTGAACATGATATATATTTTTTAACATAATGACTATACTAAAAATTTCTTAGTTATTTGGGAAAATTTGGAAAATAAAAGTATGCAATGAAATTTTATTACCTATAATCCAGTTGCCCCATGGATAAATTCTTTTTTTTTTAATGTAAGCACAATGAATTAACATTTGACAGGATTACTTTGTATCCCCTTTTTGATACATACATGAAGACTTTTATTTTGCTGGTTGTGGCCTGCACTATGGGCCTGGGCACTGTCCTTCAGATCTTCAGCTCAAGGCTAGCACTCTGCCACTTGAGCCACAGCACCACTTCCAGCTTTTTTCTGCTTATGTGGTGCTGAGGAATTGAACCCAGGGCCTCATGCTTGCAAGGAAAGCACTCTACCACTCAGCTATCTTCCCAGCCCCCCTTCCCCTTTTTTTTTCTTTGGTAGGTCATGGGGCTTGAACTCTGGGCCTGGGCCCTGTCCCTCAGCTCTTCAGTTCAAGGAGAGCACTCTACCACTTGAGCCACAGCACCACTTTTGGTTTTCTGGTGGTTTATTGGAGATAAGAGTCTCAGGGACATTCTTGCCTGGGCTGGCTTTGAACTGTGATCCTCAGATATCAGCCTCCTGAGTAGCTAGGATTACAGGCGTGAGCCACCAGAGCCTGGCTAATATAACTTTCTTTTTGTCGGTCGTGGGGCTTGAACTGTGGGCCTACGTGCTGTCCCTCAGCTCTTCAGCTCAAGGCTAGTGCTCTACCACTTGAGCCACAGGGCTAGTTCCACATGAAGACTTTTCATGTTATTAAATTGTCTTAATGATTACATTATATTCAGTGTAGTTCATTTATTGCCCTGTCACCAGCAGATATAACTTGTTTCTAATATTTAGTCATAACTAACTGAAGTTCACATTTTTGTTTTGTTTCCCTTGTAGTTAAAAACAAAGATTCAAGGTGGGCGATGGTGGGCATGCCTGTAACCCTAACTATTCAAGAGGCTGAGATCTGAGGATTGCCATTCAAAGTTAGCCTAGGCAGGAAAATCTATGAGACTCTTATCTCCAATTAGCCACTAGAAAACTGGAAGTGGCGCAATGGCTCAAGTGGTAGAGCGCTAGCCTTGAGCTGAAGGACAGTGCCCAGGCACAGAGTTCAAGCCCCATGACCGACAAAAAAAAACCCCAAATAACCCGTTTAAATACATTTTATTTAAGATCTAGAATGACTTTGTTAACTTTTCTGACCTGATGAAAATAATAACAGAACCATACCTCATTAATGAAAGTCATTTCAGGTGAATAATGGGTACTTAATCATTGTGATCTTTTCAACAAAATGTTCTTACACTTCTTTATACTGGTTTTATTTGTTTACTTTTTTTTTTTTTTAAGTAGAGTGAAGGATGGAACTCAGAGCTTTGTACTTGCTAGGCAAGTGCTCTTCCACTGAGCTAAATCCCCAACTTCTGTACTGGTTTTAAAAGCCTTTTTCCCTAAAAGTCACTGTGACCTTGGTGTTTAGAACTCTAGTCAGCCACATTCTTTCTAGAATACTGATTTTGCCTGCGTAGTTACACGTCTAGTGTTACTTTCCCTGCTGCTGTTTCATTTTACCTCTATTTCCTTATATTTACCCTAAAAATTTCCCCTCTAATTTTAGAATTTGACTACTTGAAATAGTTCTAGAGCTTAATTTATGACAGTGTATTTTAGGATAATGTCTTCTCCCAAAAGCCATGCTTTGATTTGATAAAAACAATAAATGTAAATATAAAATGTTTCAAGCAGAATGCCTATTTGTCATTGTAAAAATTCATTATTAGCCAGGCGCCAGTGGCTCACGCCTGTAATCCTAGCTACTCAGGAGGCTGAGATCTGAGGATCGCGGTTCAAAGCCAGCCAGCCCAGGCAGGAAAGTGTATGAGACTCTTATCTCCAGTAAATCACTAGAAAACCGGAAGTGGCGCTGTGGCTCAAGTAGTACAGCACTCGCCTTGAGCTGAAGTGGGCAGGGCAGTGCCCAAGCCAATAGTTTAAGCCCCACGACCTACCAAAAATTAAAAAACAATTATTAAAAAATTCATTATTATTTGATGTCTTTTTAAAATTTAGAAACACTTCCTTAAAAATATTAAAAAAAACAAAAAGTCAATAATTTAAATACAATAAAAAGCTATCCCATTCCAAACTCAGTAGAGTTTGGTAGAAATAATGATTTTATAGTAGCACATAGCTATGGTACATAGCTTTTTAAAAAAAGCCCATTTTTTAAAACATGGGGATAATAACAATGTCATTCAGAGCAAGCTACCTAGTGATTGTATCTTTTTATCTTTGCCTGTGTTATGTGAGGGAATCCTGGTCTAAGATGCCCTGGTTGAGCCTTGTAGCACGCTTACTGCCATGACATCTAGTCTGTGGGATTCAATCACTGCTCTGAGCTCTTTTTTTTTTTTTGAAGTGACAGTGATAAGTTGAGATGAGATGACGTCTCAGTTCTTTTCCATCTAGTGAAGTTCTTAGGGAAAATGTAAAATATTATTCCTTGGAGAAATCTGATACTGTTCAATTATACATTGACTATGACTATGTACTAAATATTTTCAATTTGTAAATGAACCCAAACTTCTATAGAAATACTTCTTAAGTAAAGATTGAAAAATATTTTTTGACTAAGAAGTGAACTAATCCATCATCCTTCATCAAAATAAAGGAATATGAAGTAGGATTTGCATTCTGTTTATTATAAATTAATGAAGTAGACAGGGCTTTGTCATTCATTATTTTGGAGAAAATGATGGGAGGAAAGCTAAGCCTGGCAAGTTTCTACCTTGTACTACTCTATTGTACTAAAATATTTACTTCTTATTTTCTTATTTGTAGTGGGAAGTTGCTGAGGTAGTTTTGGAGGTGTTTTATAAACTACTCAGAGATTATGAGCCTCAGCTTGAAGATTTTGTGGATCAGTTTGTGGAACTACAAGGTAATTCATTTACTTCTGCCACTTTTCAATAAGATGTCAGCGCTTTATAATTTATTTTTCTTATTTTTTTAAATATATTTTTATTGTGAAAATACTGTACAGAGGGGTTACAATTACATGGGTAAGATAATGAGCACATTTCTTACCAAGCATTGTAACCTTTTGCTTTGTTTCCCCTTCCCATCCTTTCATATCCTCCCTCCCCCTCATCCCCCCCTCCCTCCCCCCCCAAAGTTGTAAAGTTCGTTTATTGACATAACGACTTGTACATTTCATTGTTGCAATGGGTCCTCCTGTATCCCTATTTTAACAATTCTTTTTTCCCTTCCCCTCCACATATACCAACATTATATATAGTGAAAGCAGGGGTTATACCATGGGGGAGGGACATACAAGGCAACAAAGACATAATCTTACAAATATGTTAGAAACAATTACATGAAAGATCTCTCTCTCTCTTTTTTTTTTTTTGGTCAGTCGTGGGGCTTGAGCTCTAGGCCTGGGAGCTGTCCCTGAACAATTCAGCTCAAATGCTAGTGCTTTATAATTTAGTTAATAACATATACATTTTATGTAAGTTAAAATTCCTAAGTTAAATTAGAACTTAATCTTTTTTTCATTATTTCAGTCCTTTCAATTGTTCAAGAATAAGCAAAACTTTATTGAAGTTCAAGAATATCACATTATAGATTCTTTTTTTTTGCCGGGGGGCGGGGGGGGTCCTGAAATCTGGGCCTGGGAGCTGTCCCTCAGCTCTTCAGCTCAAGGCTAGCGCTCTACCACTTGAGCCACAGTGCCACTTCCAGCTTCTTTTTCTGCTTATGTGGTGCTGAGGAATCAAACCCAGGGCCTCATGCATGCAAGGCAAGTGCTCTACCACTGAGCCACCTTCCCAGCCCATATTATAGATTCTTTAATGCATTGACTAACTTCTTTCTATGTGCTGTCCAGTATTTCCCATAAGGGGAATTATTATTCTATATAGCCTGTGTTTCTGTCTCTAACTTGAAAATTGCTTTAGCTGTTTAGATCCCATTTAAATTCCAAATCTAATCCGTTCTTATACATTCATAGAAATCAAGGATATGACTAATTCACCATCTTCTGGACTTTGTATGCTCTATTTAGGAGAAGAAATCATAGCTTATAAGCCACCCGGCTTTAGTCTGATGTATCACCTTCTGAATGAGTCTCCAATGTTGGAACTTGCTCTTAGTTTACTGGAAGAAGGAGTTAAGCAGCTTGATACCTATGCTCCCTTTCCTGGTATGTGTCTGAAAGTCTCTATGTCTTAAAAACTGTTTTGATGTTTTCATCTTTCATCAACTGAGTATTTAAAATAGATTATTTCTGGGTGATTCTTGTACTGTAAAATTCAATCTACAGTGGTGTTTTTTATGAGTGGATTTAATGAGACTATAACATGTGTCCTCCCAGATCAGAAAGTATAAAAGCTACAGATAAGAACTGCCATTTTGAATCTTTAACATACTCATTTTATGCATGGGAAGCAGGAAATGTTTTTCTTCTCCATCTGTTCCTACTTTTAACTAGTCATATGGAAATAAATCCTTTATAAAACTTATAAACAAACAAGTAACAGACAGTATTGTGTAAGTGAAAACAGGCATTTTCAGTGTCTCTGCATCTCTTTTATTAGATAGTTTATATTTCCTATTACTTTCACATGTTTGCTATGTGTACATGTAAGTCTGGAATCTTTTGTTTTCTTTATAGTACTTCGATTTACTATAATACTCAATAAATTCTATTATTGGCATCATTTGTTACTTATTGAGTGCTTACTATGCATTTGACTATTAAAAGTATATCATGTGTGCTAATGCATTTATTCTTTACGAAATTAGGCCCCAGAGCCCATGCTTCCACCATTATGCTATATTGCCTATTAATGTAGCCGTGATCTGAAAAAGTCACATTTTAAGCACAATGAACTGTAATTGTGTAGTTATATAATACAATACAGAGATAAGAAACTATGGGAATAATTAGGTGAAAAAATTACATTTGGTAGGATTACCAGTGATCCTTATACTTCCCGTGGGGTTTTTTGTGTGTAACAAAATGGTTATATCTTTCTTGAAGTCAGTTTCCGAACCTTGGATAATTAACATCTTGGCCAAACTATTCTTTATTGTGGATGCTGTCCTGGGTGTTGTAGGCTTCTGCTAGCTCAATGTTAATTACACTTCCCCAATTTTGACAGACTATGACAGGCAACAGGGTTGAATGTCTTTGGGGGCCAAATCACTCCAGTGTTGAGAACTGCTATTCTAAAAAATTGGGGAATAGAAGTCAGAGGCTGGTGGTTCAAACCTATAATATTAGCTGCTCAGGAGGCTGAGATCTGGAGGATTGCAGTTTAAAGCCAGCCAAGGCAGAAAAGTCTGTGTGGCTCTATCTCCAAAATAATCAACAAAAGATCAAGTAATTGACTAATACAGGAACAGTCAAGTTTAAAAAGATGAGAGCCTTTTCAATGTAAAACTTCCTAAGAACTTATTGAGTTTCTAACATTTAAATTATAACTATACTTTTGGGTTATAGGAAAGAAGCATCTGGAGAAAGCAGTACAGCATTGTCTTGCACTTCTCAACCTTACTATGCAAAAGGAAAATCTCTTTATGGATCTTTTAAGAGAGAGTCAACTGGCTCTCATAGTGTCTCCTTTAGAACAGCTGTTACAGGGAATTAACCCCAGAACTAAGAAGGCAGACAATGTGGTAAACATTGCCAGGTGAGTTACCTTTGTAGGTTAAGAAATAATGATGGGTGGCTCATCAGGGGAATATTCTAGCTTTGATTTCTAAGTGGTTTTTTTTTAAATTATATCTATTGTATCACTGCTGGATGTTGATGATGGTGATGTTTTTGTCCTTTCAATTTTACCTTTTCTAGAGCTTTTGATATTAATTACTTTAAACCTTATAATTTCTTCCTAATTTGTCCCATGTCCTAAAGGCTTTAAATCTAAAATACCTTAATGCTGTTATTCTCCTGTAGGGAAAGTGGGATTTCAAGGATTGTGCTAGATAGGGAGTGAACAAAATCTTTCAAAATCTTTCTCTCTCTTTCTCTCTCTCTCCCCCCTTCCCCCTCTCTCCCTCCTTCCCTCCCTCTCCCTCCCGTTCCTTCCCCCTCTCTCTCCCCCTTCTTTCTTCCTTTCCCTTTCTCCCTCCTCCCCTCTTCCCCTTCCTCCTCCTCCTCTTCTACCTCCCCGCCTTCCTTTCAATCCTTACTAGGTGCACAGGCACGTGCGTGCACACATGTAAGAATGCACGCGAGTGTAAGCTTTGGTGTTAAATTGGCTGTGGAAATACTGTCCTGATCTTTTGCTCCAGTTTCATATTGTGATATCTTAGTGTATGTGTGTTTATATTCAAATCTCCCTTTTTTTTTTTTTTTTTTTGGGTCCGGTCGTGGGGCCTGAACTCTGGGCCTGGGCGCTGTCCCTCAGCTCTTCAGCTCAAGGCTAGTGCTCTACCACTTGAGCCACAGCGCCACTTCCGGCTTTTTTCTTTTTTGCTTATATGGTGCTGAGGAATCGAACTGCATGCAAGGCAAGCGCTCTACCACTGAGCCACCTTCCCAGCCCCTCAAATCTCCCTTTTTCTTGTCATAGTGTATTAGGGCCTTCCTTAATCTCATCTTAACTGGATTTACTACATACACAAAGACAAATAGGTTCATTATGGAGTGAGACTTCAACATGTGAATTTTGGAGGCACATGATCTAGCCTGTAACAGGTTCTTTGTAGCCAAAAGGGACCACTTTTCTTTAAATTCATTCATAAGTACTATATGGGAATCTATGGTTCTAAATTTGAGAATAATGAAAAGCCAAATTTCATGACATTACTCCTCAAAGTTTTTTTTTTTAATTATTGTTGTTCTAAAGGTACCTGTATCATGGGAATACTAATCCAGAATTAGCTTTTGAAAGTGCCAAGATTCTATGCTGTATCTCTTGCAACTCTAATATTCAGATAAAATTGGTTGGAGATTTCACTCATGACCAGGTAACTGATTTTGTTATTGTTGTTTTTGGTTCTCTGCAAAGAGCTTAAGTATAAAAGATGAATGAAGGGGCTGGGAATGTGGCTTAACCATAGAGTGGTTGCTTAGCCCTGGGTTTGATTCCTCAGTACCATATAAACAGAAAAGGCTGGGAGTGGCGCTGTGGCTCAAGTGGTAGAGTGCTAGCCTTGAGCACAGAAATTCTCAAGGACAGCGCCCAAGCCTTGAGTTCAAGCTTCAGGACCAGTCAAAAGAAAAGAAAAGAAAACCCACCCACGTATTTGGCTGTGATTATTTTTGAAGATAATACTGTTGGGTGATGCAGTGGACTTTGTATCCACAGGTATGTGGTTTCAAGGAAATCATTCAGAAAAAAGTATGATCACATTGCATAGTATTTAGTACTATACTGGGCATGCTCAATTTCTTTTTTCATTAATGCTACCAACTTTCCCAAAAGGCAAACTGTCTTTCAACAGAAAATTTTACTTTTTACTTAAATTAAGCATATTAACTTTTATTTTGCTTTTTGGGTAGTATTTGCTTTTTTTTTTTTTGTCAGTTGTTAGGCCTAAACTCTGGGCCTGGGCACTGTCCCTCAGCTCTTCAGCTCAAGGCTAATACTCTACCACTTGAGCCACAGCACCACTTCCGGCTACTTCTGTTTATGTGATGCTGAGGAATTGAACTCTACTACTCAGCCACTCAGCCACCTTCCCAGCCACTCCCCCAACATCTTTTTTTTTTTTTTTTTGTCAGTCACGTGGGGCTTGAGCTCTGGGCTTGGGTGCTGTCCCTGAGCTCTTCAGCCCAAGGTGAATGCTCTACCCTTTGCCACAGTGCGACTTCCAGTTTTCTGGTGGTTTATTAGCTGTGATCCTCAGATCTCAGCCTCCTGAGTAGCTAGGATTACAGGTGTGAGCCACCGGCGCCAGCTACTGTTTGCTTTTTGGGTGTCATAATTTCAGAAAATTAAGGGTAGGGAAATACTCAGCTTATCACACAATTTTTTTTGCGGGGGGGGGGACAGTCCTGGGGCTTAAACTCTGGGCCTGGGTATTACCCCTGAACTTCTTTTGTTCAAGGCTAGCTCTCTACCTCTTGAGCCACAGTGCCACTTCTGGCTTTTTTCTGTGTATGTGGCACTAAGTAATCGAACCCAGGGCTTCATGCATGTGAGGCAAGCACTCTTATCACTGAGCCACCTTCCCAGCCCTAAAAGTTTAATTTTTGAAATTTCTTTTGATTTGCCTGTTATGTATTTTTTCATATATGTTACCAAAACTGTATGTAATAAATCTATAAATGAGATAGGCTTACTCTAAGTACAGATATGTTTATGTATATTATTGTGCACACCAGTGTATATACCGAAATGTATAGTTTTTTTGGGCCATGAAATGACTGTTGCTCTAATAACATTTTAAGTGATTGTGTTAGTAGCTCTTCTTCCTGTTTTCGTTTTGCTCCCATCTTGCCTTATTCTAACTAAGCCTGCTTCTAATTCTGTGACAGTCATGAGCTGTCTGCATCTGTGATTTTCTGATGATCCACATCTATGTCACATTGTTACCACACCATGCAAGTTATTTTTGTTTTTGTTTTTTCTAGTGCTGAGGTTGAAATTCAGGGCCAAATGCTTTGTAGGCTTGTGTTCTACCACTTAAGCCATGTTTCAACCCTTTTGTTTTTGTTATTTCTTTGAGTGGGGTCTTGCTTTTGATTTTAAGCAAGGCTGACTTGGACTGCAGTTCTTTTCTTTAGGCTTCCTACATAGCCTAGATAACAGTCACATGCTACCAGATCCAGGTTGTATTGGTGGGGAAATGGTCTCTTAGTGCTGATTTCCAGCTGCAGAGTAGCTAGGATTGTAGCTATGAACCACTGTGTATGGCCCTTATTTTTACTTAAAAAAAAAATTGTTTTTCCAGTCCTAGGGTTGGGTACTGTCCCTGAGTTTCTTTTTTTGCTCAAAGCTAGCACTCTACCATTTGAGCCACAGCGCCACATCTGGCCTTTTCTGTTTATGTGATACTGAGGAATCAAACCCATGGCTTCATTCATGCTAGGCAAGTGCTCTATGACTAAGCCATATTCCCAGCCCTATTTTTACTTTTTAAAGACAATGTCTCTTTGATTAGGCTGGTGTAGAACTACCTTCTCTTCCACCTCTGTGGTAGGTGGCACTGCAGGCATATGTTACTATACCTAGCTCAGGTGTTCATCTTTTTATTCATAGTAGTTACTTTCTGTTCTCTTTTTCTCTCTTTTGAGGACAGGATCTGATTATATTGCCTAGGCTAGCCTTGAACTCCTGGGGTTAATGGATCTTCTTTCCTCAGCCTAACAAGTATCTGGAACTATAGGTGTATTCCACTCACTACTTGTATTTAATACTAGTTGAATTCTGTTGAATAGCTATCATGAACAGTCTTTTTGTTTGTTTCTTCTGTGAACGTAGATCCCATTGTATCTGTGTTAGAAAACCCTGCTTTAGTTAAAGGCTTTTATTATATCCTTCGTATTAAAGTTCTATCAGGAGCTATTCTGACACTCTAGGTGAGACACATCTTCATTTTGTGTGTAATTGCTCCTCATACCGCAAAATATTTAATGTTATTAAGTTCCCTTTCACTACAACGTCAGTAGTAATCTCTTTGTAAATGCCTCCTGAAATAGTGGTATCATAAGGTTGAGGAAAAACACTGCAGTATTTTTGTGTGGCTTCTAGATGGAATTCATGAAACTCATGATAGTCAGAGCATAATGATTATTTTTGGCTTGTTGACTTTTTTTTTTGAGACAAAATCTTGCTAAGGCTGGGTGCTGGTGGTTCATGTCTATAATCCTAGCTACTCAGAAGGCTGAGATCTGAGGATTGTGGTTCAAAGCCAGCCTGGATAGGAAAGTCTGTGAGATTCTTATCACCAGTTAACCACCAGAAAACTAAAAGTGGCACTGTGGCTCAAGTGGTAGTGCTCTAGCCTTGAGCCGAAGAGCTCAGGGACAGTGTCCAGGCCCAGAGTTCAAGCCCTACAACTGACAAAAAAAAAAATCTTGGTATGTAGTATAGGGACACTTAGAACTTGCCATTTTCTTGCCTTCTCTTGTGTGCTGGGATTATAAGCTTATCTGTTTTTAATTTACACTATTACTGATTTGAACATTGTTAGGTTTCTTTTTCTTTTTTTTTTTGGGGTCCAGTCGTGGGGCCTGAACTCTGGGCCTGGGCACTGTCCCTCAGCTCTTCAGCTCAAGGCTAGCGCTCTACCACTTGAGCCATAGAGCCACTTCCGGCTTTTCTTTTTGCTTATGTGGTGCTGAGGAATCGAACCCAGGGCCTCATGCATGCAAGGCAAGTGCTCTACCACTGAGCCACCTTCCCAGCCCCAGGTTTCTTTTTCTTTCTTGCTTTTTTTTGAGATAGGGCTGTATTTTGTACTTACACTAGCCTGACATACACTTTGTGGTCAAGGCTGGCTTCAAACTCAGTGATTCCACTGCCTTTTCTTCCTGAGTACTGGAATTACAGATACACCTCTCTGTCTGGCTTACGTTAATTATTCCTAGAGACTCATGGCAGTTTAAGAAACTGAATTTTCTGTTAATTAATGAACTAAAACCTAACCACTTAGAGCAGATTAGTCTTTTTCCCACAGATGACTGTGTATACTATATTTATTATGATATCTCTGATAATTTGACAGTTTTGATTAATTAATAAATTTCCTGTCTATATTGTTTCAGAGTGTAAGCCAGAAGCTGATGGCTGGATTTGTAGAGTGTTTGGATAGCGAAGACACAGAAGAATTTGTACGTGTAGAAGAGGGTAGGCCTCAGATTAACCTGTATAGTTCTTACTGTGTGTTTAGATACTTTATATAAAAAACATAATACAAAACTTAACATTCTTATCTGTGTATTTGAGACATAGGAAAAGTTGATGATATGCTAAATGGCATGTATAAAGGTTTCTGGATTTCTTTAGTAAATCAATATAATAGCTTGTCAGGGAACCTAAGTTAAGTAATCCTGGATGTTTGGAATACCTGCTTCATATTTTTAAATTTGATTTAGATTGACTTTGTATTGTTTGGTAAGTTTTTGTGTTTTGCACATTAAGGCTCAGAACTTGAAAAGAAGTTAGCTGTAATTCGTCATGAGACAAGAATCCACATCTTGAATCTTCTCATCACATCTCTGGAATGCAATCCTCCCAATCTCGCTCTCTACTTGTTGGGCTTTGAATTGAAGAAACCTGTCAGTACCACAAACCTACAAGATCCAGGTATAGTGTTTATTCTTTTTCATATGTGTGCATCTAAGTGGTCTTAATGAATTCTGGATTCATTGAATAATTCATTAAAAACTGTGTACATGTGAAAGTTAATGTGATAGGCCAGTCTTTAGGACGTTGATCAAGACTGGATAAACAGTTTTACAGAGTTGGCATTTTTCAATGTTTTTTTTTATCAGTATTTGAATGGTATTAGAAGAGCATATGTTTATAATATTTGATTTTTGTAATGCTATCCTAGGGTTTCCAACACAAAAGTTGTTTCCTTTTGGTTTTATGTAGGAGTGTTGGGTTGCCCCCGGACATGCCTACATGCTATCCTAAACATCTTGGAGAAAGGAACAGAAGGGCGAACAGGGCCGGTGGCAGTGCGAGAATCTCCTCAACTGGCTGAGCTGTGTTACCAGGTACACAGGTGTCACTTTGTAGAACTGAGTAGAAGAGACTGGATGAGTTAACACAGGAGAATAAGACTGAGTTGAAATGAGCTCACTTTTATTATGTATGGATAGAATAAATCCATAGGTATAAACTACAAGATTGTGTAAATAGAAAGATCCTATTGACAAGTGAGGGAAAATAAGATTTTTTTAAAAAAACAGATTTGGATCATACATAGGAACTCTCCAATATCTAGTAGTGCTATATTTAAAATAACATTTTTTGGTGGGTAGTGGTGGATTTGGGTCAGATCTCTTGTCCCATGTCTGACTCCTAACAGGATAGATGTGCTGTGAAACTTCTCTGGATCTGAATTTCTCAGTCTTTCTTAGTGAAATGATCTGTTAAGATGTAAGTGGGAATGTAAGTAAAAGCACTTTTTAGGAACCATATGAATTCTAAAATTCTATAGCTATGCAGCATGGTATAGAGGCAAAGGTCAAATAATGAAAACTTTATTCATTTGTATTTATGAATTTATTATTATTCATTTTAGATATTTTAATAATTTGACTTTATAAAATGTAGTTAATGCCTCAAGTTATTTCACATTTTCTTGATAATGCATCATTAATTTTAGTGAAATATTGCTCTCATTTTTGTAGTTTTTCACTGTTCTGCTGTCTGGCTATTCAAACATTGTTTAACAGTACTGTAGCTAGATTTTTTTTTTTTTTTTTTTTGGTCAGTTGTGGGGCATGAATTTAGGGCCTAGGCACTGTCTCTGAGCATTTTTGCTCAAGGTTAGCACCATTTTGAGTCATACCCCCACTTCTGTTTTTCAGGTGGTTAATTGGAGATAAGAGTCTCATAAGGAAGTAGTGCTGTGGCTCAAGTGGTAGAACGCTCACCTTGAGCTGAAGAGTGCAGGGACAGCGCCCAAGCCCAGAGTTCAAGGCCCATGACGACAAAAAAAAAAAAAAGAGTCTCATAAACTTTACTGCCCTGGCTATCTTTGGGTTTTTTTTTTTTTTTTTTGGGGGCCTGAACTCTGGGCCTGGGCGCTGTCCCTCAGCTTTTCAGCTCAAGGCTAGCGCTCTACCACTTGAGCCACAGCGCCACTTCTGGCTTTTTTCTTTTTTGCTTATGTGGTGCTGAGGAATCGAACTCAGGGCCTCATGCATGTAAGGCAAGCACTCTACCACTGAGCCACCTTCCCAGCCCCTGCCCTGGCTATCTTTGACCTGTGATTCTCAGATCTCAGCCTCCTGAGGAGGAGGTAGGATTGCAGATGTGAGCCACTAATGCACAACGTAACTATGTTATTATGTAGTTTGTTTCTTATGAGCCAAATACTTCCTTAATTGGGAAATAAACTTGCCCTATACAGTGTAGTGTAATAGAATTTCAAATGTAGGTAGAAGCAGTTGATAAGCCTAAGCATGCGCTAAAGGCAGATGAATAAGGGAAGAGAGAAGCAAGGTTTATGTTGAGAAGGAGGTTGCATTTCTCCTCTCCTGACCATCTGAGCTGAGGGACAGCGCCCAGGCCCAGAGTTCAGGCCCCACAACTGGACCCCCCCCCAAAAAAAGAAAATTAGGAGTCTAAATTTTTGTTGAAAATTTAGATTTTCAACAAAATTATAGTTTTTAGAACCTTGTTCTGGTCAAACAAAATATTACACCAGCAGTCTACTATATATAACTTAGGATCTGTGACTTCACTGTCAGAATGATGTGGTGCAGGACCAGAACCCAGTTTAACCAGTGTGGAATATCAGCTCTACATTAGATCTATATTTGAATAAGAAGTTGGTGCCATTTTTAGTGAAAAATAATTCACCTATAGGTTTGTGCATCACCTTCAGAAAAGAAACTGGGTTTTGTTTAAGAAAATCTGGCCAGGCACTGGTGGCTCACGTCTATAATCCTAGCTACTCAGGAGGCTGAGATCTGAGGATAATCATTCAAAGCCAGTATTGGCAGGAAAGTCTGTGAGACTCTTATCACCAGTTTACCACCAGAAAACCAGTGGTGCTGTGGCTCAAAGTGGTAAAAAAGCTCAGGGACAATGTCCAGGCCCTGAATTTTGAAGCCCAGAACTGGCAAACAAAACAAAGCACCAACAAAAACACATAAATGGTTCAAGTGATAAAGTGCTAACCTGGGGGAAGGAGGAGGCTAATTGTAGATAAGAATCCCAGACCGGGGGTGGGGGAGTGGGAGGGGTTGGTGGGGAGGATTGGGGGGGGGTAGTGGGGGGAGAATGGGATGGGAAGGGGAAACAAAGGAGGAGGCTACAATGCTTGATAAGAAATATACTCATTATCATGCCCATGTAATTGTAACCCCTCTGTACAGTATTTTCACAATAAAAAAAATTAAAAAAAGAATCCCAGACACTTTCTTACATAGGCTGGCTTTGAACTTTAATTTATTGTTATGTATGTGAAGTAAGTGTGTGTGTGTGTGTGTGTGTGTGTGCGCGCGCGTGCATGCTGGTTCTGGAGCTTAAACTCAGGCCCTGGGCACTGTCTATTATACTTGAGTTGGTACATCTTAATTTTTCTTTGTAGTAACTTTAAGTTTATATTGTACCTTAACATGTACAATACATAAAAAACTGATGTAAGGATTTTTTTTCATTAGGTGATCTATCAGTTATGTGCATGTTCTGATACATCTGGTCCTACTATGAGGTATTTGAGAACCAGCCAAGATTTTTTATTTTCTCAGTTACAACATCTGCCTTTCTCCAACAAAGGTAGGACATTATTTTGACTTCTATAAGTATTTCAGATTATGGTCTCGTATTTATTTAGAGACAGGATCTTATAATATAGTCTGGCTTGAAACTCCTGATCCTCCTGTCTTAGCCTCCCATGTTACAAATGTATACAACCATGCCTGACTGTGGTCTGTTTTGATTTTGAATTGTTTATGTATCTGTGAGCTATCTTGGGAATGTGTAAATATATTTTATAGTGTGCCTTTGTGTTTTTGCTTTCATTTTTGTGAGTTGGGTTTTTTAGAGTTAGGGGCCTTAATTGCTCAGGTTGCTTGTTCAGCTAGCATTCTGTTATTTGAGCTCACTTTGAGTTTGGTTATTTTGGAGAATGAGTTATGCAGACTTTTTTTGGGGGGGTGTCTTTTTTGGGGGGGGTCCTGTTGTGGGGCCTGAACTCCAGGTGCTGTCCCTCAGCTCTTCAGCTCAAGGCTAGTGCTCTACCACTTGAGCCACAGTGCCACTTCCGGCTTTTTTCTTTTTGCTTATGTGGTGCTGAGGAATTGAACCCAGGGCCTCATGCATGTAAGGCAAGTGCTCTACTACTGAGCCACCTTCCCAGCCCTATTCAGACATTTCTACATGGGCTAGCCTTGAGCCCTGATACTCCAAATTTTATCCTCTTGAGAAACTAGAATTATATAAGTAAGTCAGTGGCACAACCTGCCACATAGGTCAAATATGGACTTTTCCTCATGTGACATCATGTGGGCCCTCAAAAATTTTGATTTGGAGCATTTATTTATGAATTTTTCCAGTTCTTAAGTTTGAACTTGTGGCCTCACAATCACTTGATTTGCCTGTTTGGTTGACACTCCACCAAATAAGCCATGTCTTTAAGCCCAGCTTTTTGTTGCTTATTTTGGAAATGGATATTCTTTGTGCCTATGCTGGCCTTGAACCATGATTCTCTAGATCTCAGCCTCCTGAGTAGCTAGGTTATAGTTGTGACACACTGGTACTCAGCCCAATGTTGAACTTTTGAATTAGGGTTGCTCAACCTGAGAAAGCAGTTATAGTATCTGTTTTTATTTTGTTAGTTTGCTTCTGTGTTACTTTCATAATTTGTGCTTTGCAAGCTGTTGTTTTAGCTTCAAGCATAATTTGGCTTCTAATATAATCTGTCAAGTATGGAATTTGATTATTTTACTAACAAAGAAACCTTGAAAGTGGGCGCCGGTGGCTCACATTTATAATCCTAGCTACTCAGGAGGCTGAGATCTGAGGATCATGGTTCATAGCCAGCCCGGGCAGGAAAATCTGTGAGACTCTTATCTCCAGTAAAAACTGGAAGTGGCACTGTGGCTCAAGTGGCAGAGCGCTCGCCTTGAGCCAAACTGCTGAGGGATGGTGCCTAGGCCCACGACTGACCAAAAAAAAAAAAAAAAGAAACCTTGAAGATTCTGTTGAAGGGATAGAAATTATTGACTTTCAGCACAAAATTATATTATAAAACCCTTGGGTTGCATATTCCATGCATATTCATATACATCTGTGTCTAAGTATATATACAATTGTATACATAAAAATATACACTCCCTACATACGTACATACATTCATACACACACATACATATATCCACATCAATTCAAGTCTTGAAATAAAAAGTTGAAAACAATAGTAATAAACATATTTTGTTGACATGACTAACAATTATCCCAAGCTAAATAAGTTTTAGCGAGATTCTTTTTTCTTCTTTTTGATTGGCTTTAAATATTTTTAGTGTTTAGATTGTATTTAGATACATCCATGCCTATAATCTTGTGGGTATAAGCTATTCTCTTGTTACCATTCAAGATTTAAAAGCCATGCCTGTAGAAATAATTGATCACCTGGGAACCTAAGGTAGGAGGACCATGAGTTTGAGGCCAGTCTGAGGTACATGCTGAAACTGTCTTCAAACAACAAAACAAAATAATCCTGGATTAAAAAACTATTATATAAGTGGTTCCAAGTCCCAAGTATACATTAAATCTAGTGTCTTTAATTAATTTTTTTTCCACCCTGGGTTTGGGTAAGAGGGTTTGCTGGGAATTGAAATTAAGACCTCATGCCTGCTAGGTGAAGCTCGGCTAGCTGAGCTACACTCCACTCCTTGTATCGTATCCTTAGTTAATTTTCTAATTAATTTTATAATACTTATAAATTATGCAGTGTGGGTTTAGATATATATTTTTATAAAAAGCAAAATTAAATTGTATTCTATTATGGCAACTGAAAGTTACTTTTTTTTTCCTTTTGGTAACAGTCCTAGGGCTTGATCTCAGGGCCTGGACACTGTCCCTGAGCTTTTTTGTTCAATAGTGCTCTATAATTGGGCAATAGCTCTACTTCTGACTTTTTAGAAGTTTATTAGAGATAAGAGTCTTACAGACTTTCCTGCCAGATTAGCTTCAAACTGCGATTCCCAGATCTCAGCCTCTTCAGTAGTTAAGATTACAGGTGCGAGTCACCAGTATGTGGCTAAGAATTACTTTTTAAAATGAAATATTAAGAGGGTGGAGGTGTAGATCAGTTGGTAGCGTGCCAGCCAAAGAGTGAAAGCATTGGGTACCAAGTTTGAGTCCTGGTTTCAGGACTAAATAATGAAGTGTTAAGTAATATTTTAATGTCAAAGTATAACTGATTTTTGTGAAGCTTTCCAGGGAACAAAAGCTTGATTGTCGTATTCCTTGTTTGCTTTAACTTATTTTTCATAGATAGACACTAGCTTATTTTTTCTCCCTTTGTAAATTTTTCTTTTTTAATTTCATAGTGCCAGATTTATGAATTACTGATTCATTACCTATTCAATGAGTTATGGAATTTAGATCCATTCTGATCTTGTGTTACTACTCTGTGAAATGAAATTATGTGTTTAAATCCCAGAATATGAAATCTCTATGCTGAACCAAATGTCATGGCTTATGAAGACTGCCTCAATCGAACTAAGGGTGACTTCTCTGAATCGTCAGCGGTCACATACACAGAGGCTCCTACACCTTTTACTGGATGATATGCCAGTAAAACCGTACTCAGGTGAATATGTTAATAATGACATTTGTTTTATTGTACTGGTGACTGGTCTATAAATGCAAATCTCAATCTTATTATTAGTATGTACTTGGAGACCAAACAGTTTTTCTCAGCTTTAGAATATTTTTTCTTATCATTTAAACATATCCCCTGACTGTTATTTTATTTTTGTCTCAAGTACCCAAATATAGTCATTATTTATACGTACATTATTCAGTGGAAAGTTTGTCCCACTTAGACAATATGCCCTGGGCTAAACCAATAAGTATACATGCAAACTAAACATAAGCTTTTTGAAAAAATATTTAACATTGGATTGATTTTTGCTAGTTTTAAAATTCTGATTATCCTCTTTAAAATTATAAATGGATCCCATAGTGATTAAAAGAATCAAATGAATTTTAGCAGTAAGTCCTTATCAATCTGTTTCACTTTAATTATCTATTTGTAAAGGGCTCTTTTTTGGGGGGGGGGTCCGATCATGGGGCCTGAACTCTGGGCCTGGCACTGTCCCTCAGCTCTTCAGCTCAAGGCTAGCGCTCTACCACTTGAGCCAGAGCGCCACTTCCGGCTTTTTTCTTTTTGCTTATGTGGTGCTGAGGAATTGAACCCAGGGCTTCAGGCATGCAAGGCAAGTGCTGTACCACTGAGCCACCTTCCCAACCCTGTAAAGGGCTCTTTGACCTAGAAACAATGACCTAGAAATAAAATACATTATGTTCACTATTTTCAAATAAATGTATTTTGAGTATGCTCTTTACTTTCTGATCTGTTCTTTATGCTCCACCAGATGGTGAAGGAGGAATAGAAGATGAAAATAGGTCTGTCTCTGGGTTTCTTCACTTTGACACTTCTACAAAAGGTAAAGCCCTTTAATTTCTACAATTTATTTTGTACACATACTTCATTACTTAAAATGTCGAGATTATTGTGCCTCTGTCTGTAAATTCTGAGCATAGGAAACCTATGTGAAGGAAAAAAACCCATTCTTTTAATAGCTAAAATTATAGGATGGGAAGGAAAGTATTTTTATAAGTGGGTATGGTAGAAATAAAATCAAGCTTAGATTTTTAAGTCTTCACTTTTTAGAATAATGCCCTTTCTAAAGATAGCACAGTCTTTGAGAATGAGCTGAATATAATAGTTTACTTTTCAATGTCCAGGAACAAGTGGTTTACTTCTTTTTATTTTATAGTACGTCGAAAAATTCTAAGTATTCTTGACTCGATTGACTTCAGTCAGGAGATACCTGAGCCTTTGCAGTTGGATTTTTTCGATCGGGCCCAGATTGAACAAGTTATTGCTAACTGTGAGCACAAGAATTTACGGGGACAGACAGTCTGCAATGTCAAGGTAAGGATTGCTTTAATGTACAGTATCAAGTGGTTTAGTCATTGAGCCGTCAGAAAAAAACAGAGCCATATAGTTGTTTTTCCCCTGAACGAGTTCTGGTTAATAGCTTTGTGAACTGCAGTATTTATCAAACAGCAGGAAATAAAACCTAATAAACTACATTAACTCTTTTTAGTAATTTTTTTACCTAGGTAGAACTATGGATTTGTGTGTGCATGTGTATGTGCAAGTGTGCATGCATGGGCATGCATATGCTTTAACTCAGTTTGTCTCTAAACTCTTTTTTTTGTTGTTGTTCAATTCTAGCAATCCAT